AAAATCATTATATATGTACATATATCTATTTAGGTATATGGGGGCTCAGAGAAGAGTTTACCCTATTCAACAAATCTTTCATACGAGTACACATAGATACTATCATCAGGAAACAGTTTTGGTCGTAAGGTGTAATACTCTGAAAGCATTATTCGTACAAAGTTTTATATTTATTGCTTCTTGATTTGTGCACAGAAAAGTGAAAGAATCTAATGGAATTTAAAACTGTGCTATGTATATGAGGAATAGGCAACACAGAATTTGAGAAGAATCTAACATGCCAAATTTAGTTCTAATCTATGCCATTATACCTAAAAATGCCGGTATCACGCCCATCGTCCAATTTTTACCCCGGCACACTATCTCGGGTGCTAAATTATTTTTCCACAGACCTACCTTTATAGTAGGCTCGTAATGCGCCTCCTTATATTCTAGTCCATCGGCCTCTCCAGAGTTTTAAATAACAAGGAGGAGAGATTGATGGACCTGAAATCTTCGGTCGTAATCATTCGAGATGAACATACCTCTGACTCGCCTCCAGGCCCAATAATGTATGTATACCAGTCTTATGCAGTTCTCATAGATAGGTACTAACCAGTAGCACGAACCCGAAGACCTGAAAAGTTTGAAGGAATTGACCGCCCATATCAAATGCCGTTTATTAAGCAGATCTCCAAAGGTTGCGCAAGCCTATTGCAGCACTCCTAGAGGTACCTTTACAGGGGACGTATTGCTCGGGAAGGGAGCTTCAAGGAGCACCCGAAGTGTATCTTCACTGATTAAGGCTCACTCCCCATTTGCGTCCTTAAGGTAACCCACAGGATGGGCTCTTTGCGATGATACGCCTGAACCAAAAGGTACACGACCATCCTCCATTTTCTCCGAGAAGCTTTTCCATGAAGTCCTCTTTGCTTTTCTTATCTCGGACTTATATATAGTTCAAGTCCCGTTTATCATCTGCAAGGTGGTTTGCCTCCGCACTTCGGTGTTCTCAGACGACATGAGCTCTCCAGTACAATTTTACATGCCGAGCTGAAAACTTCAACCCATTCGTCTTCGTCGGTCGTGAGTCCGCTCTTGCGCTCGTGTAAGAACATGTCGGAAGCTCTTATGGTACACATTCCAGTGTTTATTTCTGAAATTTCTATAAAACTTTCTGACTGAAACTTATGGACCCGTGGTCAGAAAAGAGTGATCGCCAAGAACTCTCCAATCTGAGATCAGAGGTGCGTTCGAGGTAAGGCTGAGGTCAAAAACCTCCTCCCTGCTTCCAGTCACGAATGTATAAGATTTTCCCCAATTTCCCCAATTACAAATGAACAAGCTTTGCCTTACAATCTGTTATTAATATCCGAACTAATGGCTAAGTAAGCAAGCATTTTTAGAAATACACATCGAAATCATACATAATTTTAGAATATTAGAATCTTTTGAATCTTCGTATCAGCGCTCAGTTGGAAAGGATATCGATAATACCCTTAGTTAAAGAGCAGTATCAAAAATCATATTCGTAATGATTAATGTTTTGGAAAATATTTTATGACCTAAATAGATAAAGCTTTAAATGTCAGAAGTGGATTCCAGAAAAAAACTTTATTTGATGCATTTATGGAAGTCATATAGCTCTGGTAAAATCATTTGTGTACGAACATGTTTTCTTTTTAAGAAAAGGGGATTTTAACATTATTTCGATGATTTTATGACTGAACTTTTATAGTATTTGTAAACTTCAATTTTACAATAATTTTACTACCTTTGATTTCAGAATTGAACGGTGCAAAACAATACTATCTTTCGCAGTATAAAACATGTAATCAAGACTCTTGGCTCTGGTTACTCGTACAACTGAATTATTTTGGTCCGAATTGGATGAAATGAATTTGAACAATATGCGGTTCCCATAGGACGAAAACCAAGTTTGGTGAACGTGTGACGTATCTCACGAAATGGCCCAATCAACAATATAACATAAGAAAATCTCAAACTTCTGCATATATTTATTATATATAATACATATGTTAACGTTTCAGTTTATAGAATCACATGCAAATTTGAAATATAATTTCACAAAAGTAGATACAGTGGCTGTTGGAGAAAAATGGAAGTTACCAGCTACCCGTTGGTTACATTGTAATGAATATTACATAAACATTAAATATAAAATATTATTTGAAACCGCTATAGATCGATTTCCAGAACATGGAAATGGAAAATGTGAAAATATTGCCCCAGCATTATTTTTAGTATATGCGTGGATAACTTCCCTCTGCCAATGCATCTGTTATAAGTACAAAAGTAAATTACAATCTATATGTATAGAACATTAAGACATCCAATTTATCACACGTATATTTATATATGTACATAAGAAACATAAGACATAAAATTAACAATTTGATATAAACTGTCCACCAATATGAACCTACCTATGTGCATATGAATGTTCATATATAGAGTATACATATTTCATATACCTTTACAAATACAAATATGTGTATTAATTAAAAAAAAATAATAATTTATTTTCTCAGGTATATATGTAACTATGTATTCCTTCATATAAGAAATAGAAACTTCAGTGGATACATGCGCATAGCTGTTTCCAACCTAAATGAATAATTAGGACATTTCTATCCTCAATAGCTTAAATATTTATAAATTTTGATGATAACTTTGTAAGCAAGGTATTCGTAAAATATTTTCAACCTTCGGCATTTGGACAAAATCGTTAATTTTGTTTTGCGTACTACAAGGCCTATGACATCGTATTGTCAACATGCCAGCTATTAAATGTCACCTGCAGCAGTTCATGATTTGTGATCAAATAGGTAAGCCACAAAGCCAAGAGAAGAACGTCATACATGTATTTACATACACATACAAATAATACAACATTCATGTATGTATTATGACCCTTAGGAGTTGTTTAAACATATGTTCGAAATGTTGATATACAGTTTAGCAAACATACTATATACTTATAAACGGTGAGCAGAAATATTTATAGAAATACGAATATATGGGCATACATACATACATATATATTGGTTAAAATTCTATGAGCATATATACATTACATATGGTATGTAAGTAAAACAGGAGTGCCTTCAGGGGTTGAGAAAGAAAAATTAACTGCAGTCGCTCGGTAGTTAATAAGGGCACATACGTACTCGCATATCCATACATGCATACGATATATGAAGGTATATACTTGCATTTGTATTTTATGCATATGACCAAACTTGTATATACCGTGCAGTAAAACACAAAACGAATCAGAAACTCTATTAGTTTACATCTAAAATTTAACTAGTCTGAAAATTACTTTTGTAATTTAACAAAAACAAATTTATTTTGTATTTCTTTAAATTAATAACCTCCAACCACAGTCGTTTATAACAAGTTGATTTGACTACAGGATACTTCATAAACTGAATTCAAGACAATCATAGACAAGACATAGAATTTGCAGACACATATACGCTGAAGTGCATATGTAGACAACCTTAACAGAATTGCAATAGATCAATAAATCTCCATATACTATACATACATATATATATATTATAGATATATATAAATCTCTAAACCTATCAAAAGAGTTTTTACTTTTCTAGTTTAGAACTAAGGGTGTTTTTTGTCCGGTTAAGAGAGCTGTCCAAATATGGAGACGTGCCAAAAATTAACTAATAAATGCGCTAGACAATTTGTTTTCTGTTAACGTATAGTTCTTAAAAAAATTGTCTCAAGCCGCCAAAATTTAATAAGGATTTAAAAAAGTGACGTATAATTTGTACACAATTATCTTAGAAAATTTTATAAAATCCTGTAATTTTATCAGAGATAATTGAAAAAAATATTACCAAAATATTATCCGTGTCTGGTCATTGGAACGTACTCATGTCCTTATTGAAAATTAGATAAACTAATTTCGATCACAAACTTTGTGACATCAGAAATTAAGGGTAATCAATTAATCTGTAATTGATTTACCCAGCACTCAATACTATGGTAAACAACACATATGTAATAAAAATTTATTTTATTTTATTTTTAAGTTTAAACCATTTTTCCAACTTATTTAGACATTACATTAAGTACGACCGAATTTTCCGTATTTTTTACATATCTGTATATATGTATACAAGTATTCAAATAGTTTTATTGTTCTGAAATTAGAGATTTCCAAAATCAAGAAATAAACGAATATAACAGCAAAAAACATTATCTCATCATAATCCTCATAATGTAAAAAAACACATTTCGCTTATATGGAAAAACGACAGTCTGCTACTAGTTTAACTTATAGGTTATAACCAGCTGATTTAAATGCGGGGTACAAATATAAATCTATCATTGTATTGTAGACAAATTTGATGTGATGTCGGCGAACGATGGTCGTCATTCGTTGCAGGAATATCGTAAATTGTACACGGCGTATGATACATACACATAAATCCCCACTGAGTTTGTGCACATAATTACATATATACTATATTTATAAGTGTACATGCACATCTGCACTTACATAGGAATGTATCCACATGCATCCATGTACACATACATATGTACATGGTGCTTTTATAAATTGTGTACTAAATATAGCAGCAGTCGCAGTACACATACATAAGTACACTACATATAAAGTATATAGTTTATGTATGTACTTTCCTTTTTTGTATGTATGGACACAAAATAATACATACATATTTATTTGCCTATACATACGTATGGAACCGCGTATATGATGCAGTTCATGTACTTTAAGTGACTTTACATACATTCTTGTGCATGTACATATGTATGTAATATCTAGACCAAATATACTTTGTATATATGTACATATCTGTATGCAGAGTGCACTGCACTCGTGTCTCCGCTATTTGAACTTAATCGATCAAAAACGCAGGTTGACTTTACATACAATATAGTAGAACGTGTATATACATACATAGTATATATTAAATTCTTATAATAAACTCTTGTAATTAATAAATTACCTTTATTTTCACAGATCCATGCGCAATATTGCAACTTCAAAATCATAAAAACGGCTTTCGCATAAGCACACCATTATGACATCAATAAATACATATGTGTGTATGTATGTATTTAATATGTATCTAGATAAATTCATATATTTTGAAGTAAAAAATGTGCATATATTTAAAATATTTATCGGAGATATGTATACATTTATGTACCTTATACATATGTATATATAAGGATATGCACCCCTTTCAGCTATTACTATAGGTCAGTGCAATGAAAACATTTAAATTCACTTAACACACACACTGCATTGTTAAAATGTAGTATATGCTTACATTTCTTTTATAAAACAATTCACTACGCAACTAAGTAAATATAAACAGTCATATGTACATCCCTATAACAAAATTTACGTTTGCATCCACACATGCACACTTTTCAACTTTTCTTCTTAATTTATTCATATTTTATTGTAGTGAAATATTATTAGCACGTATTTGTACCGTTATCTTTCACTGATGCTTATATTTTTCATATTAGATATTCCTTAATTAATACATTTTCCTTAATTTTTTCAGTGTATTTAGGAGGCGTGGATACACTAGGGCACTATTATAGGGTATCGGAACGAACGCGGTGCTATTCTCTTATTCTCCACAGCTTATCAATACGATGTTTCCGTTTATGTTGTTTGTGCGATACTGAAAATTCAAAAACTTTATACCGTCGTTGTTGTTTGTTGTGTGAAAGTTCGTTACATTTCTTCTTCGTTCAGCATGCACTCGGCTAAACTTTGGCTTCTGTCGCCACGATTCGATTCGGCGACTGCCGTTGCTTCGCTCACCTTTTCGTGCTTTCAATTGACGGGTAGCTTGCCAACTTTATTCCTGGTGCCGCTAATTATTTATTTTCCGCAGCATACATAGTTATGTGCTTTTTGTTGAAAAAGAATGTCCGAATATTATTTACTCATTTTTAGTAATGTGTCTATTCTGTTCACCTGGCAGTTCTCTCAATCTCTACAGCCTAGACTCTTGTTTAAATTGAAAAAAACTTTATATCGAGTTTATTAGCACATGCATACATAGTTATGTGTACATACTATATACACACATGTAAGTATCCATGTGGGCATGAATAAGTATGAATTTTTGAGTACTTGCTATACTTTCGCATATTACAATTACACATTTCTATAAATTCCTTCCTATGGAATTTCTTCTATGTAAGTATGTTTCAGCGAGTATTTAGGTTAATCAACATTTTTCAAACTACCACCTCTATGTACATATGCTCACAAGGTAAATTACGCTTTTGTGGGGTTATTTCACCTGTGAATTTCAAAAAATCGATTTTTTTTATCGATTGTACCTATATTTTAGAATATTCTCTGAAGTTTCAAAGTTCATCTGGCAAATACAATCGGCGATATGACCGTTTTTGTAAGAATCGCTCAGTATAATCGGCACCTAAAAGATTAGACGAGTTTTCATCGAAACGCTATTTCAGAGTGGGTCAGGACAATTTCTCCACAACGGCTGAACCGATAGACTTGTAAAGTCGAGGTATATCTTATATCGTCATCGAGTGATGTAGAAAACACTGAGCTATGTGAGTATTCTTCAGGGTCGGAGCTTACAAACAGATTCTCTAATCTTTATACTGAGAGTGGGCTTCTGAGCGACACTCAAAAAGACACAGATAATTAGTTAATACGTCACCACATTAAATTAGATTATCCAGCCCAAATAAACCGCATAATGACAAAGAAACCGGCAGGAAGTATTAGGCAGAGAGGGCCTTAACATCCTAGCAAAATCCTGCAGACGAGCATTAGAAGTGGCTTGTCCAATAACACATATGTACATACATGTATATCAGATTAAATAGTGAAATAAAGACGTGCGAGATCCATGAAATGTTATCGAAGCACATCAGGTCACGCCTGATTCAAATTGACGTCGAAAGCGTTTGATCAATGTATCAAAAAAAGTAGAAAACAAACGAATGTATGGCTAAGCGCATGGCATGTTGAGTACGATGGTACAGTAATTTTGTTAGTTGCTGGTGTCCGCATGTGTGTTGTCCTCGTGCATGTTGTTGTTGAATGTGGAGTGTAATTAAGATGTTGTGAGAGATGTGGCATTGTCGTGCGGTCAGGGTGGAAGGGTCGAAGAATCATTTAGTCACACATTAATCTTTTATAAAATACTAATAACGATTTATTAAGATATTGTTTATGTTGAAAGCATAATTTAGGACTCGTTTGAGTACAGTCTACACATATGTACATGTTATAATTATCATTGAAAATTATTTTATAGTGCTAATTAGTAAAAATTATTAGAAAATATTTTAACAATATCAATAGATTTGATAGGCCTGAGGAGGCTATAAAAATCTATGCCAAAAGAGTAACGATGATGCGGAGTAAAACCAGATCTTAGTGTAATAACGATGAAGCAAAAAGAGTCTGATGAGCTTATGGTGACGGCTATTTTACTACGAGATATTCCTGGTGTTTTTGAGGTTTTTACTGCTTATTACTCAAAACGTTCTCGAAAGCAACAGCGTTCAATAACTATCATTAAGATGTAAGTGTCTCTCACTATATTCTTCAAGTTCGAGTAATTGTGAAGTAATTCAAAAACAAGATTTAATCCAGTACAAATATTTGAAAACATATTTTACGCACAAGTCACAGATTTTTTATATACAACAGTATACTATATGCAAATCAAACAACAGGCATACATTTCGAATTAACGCATTAGATATCAAAAAGTCCATAGCCATATTGATAATCTGGTAAGGCTGAGTTCAGGCTACTACCGGGGTCACAGCTGGCGGATAGTGGACGGCCTACGCTAACTAGGTAATACGCAGCCCCCGACCAAGAGCTGCAGGAGAAGAGGCGAGAAGATGCCGCCTTTAAATAAGCGTCAGCAACCCCCACCGGGGCTGCACCGAGGGAGAACCTTCCCACGAGAGGGAGGCAACAAAGCGACGAGGGAACCATAAAGTGAGCAGCACCAAAAGCACACAGACGACGTCGGAAACCCTGGGCAAGCGCCCATCAGAATCGAGGCCAGTAAGGTTCTGATTATGGAATATTGGAAACAAATAATGGACTAGTTAGACAAAGGGCTGGTGAGGGCAGTATTCTGTCACCTCAGTAGGTAAGAGTGACATCTTACCGAAATGGCTGGCAGGCTAATGCTGCTCTCACCTCCGTCTGGTTAAAACCCTGGCAGGTCTTCAAGTACGTTCAATGCACGTCGCCAAAACTTCTTGGCCGTACAGGCTCAGTTGAGACGACCTCCTGATTCATGCCTGAACCTGGCTCTGAACACAAGCTCTCATACGGACTTGTGTCAACCCTTGCGTTTCCTCCCTGCTTGCATAGATAACAACGGGGTTCATAAAGGCAACTGTTACAACGTGCGGAGATAGCGGCTTGAAGCGGAGACCCAAAAGATCTAAAATGAACACAACACAAGAACAGCAACAAAAACCCCAACAGAAGGAACAAGCTAAAGAACAACAAAACAAAGATGCTCAAGACGAGGAATACGGGACCGTGTTTCGCAGAAGTAGTAGGATACTTAGATCCCCCACACTGACCAAAACTCCTAAACAATTAGAAAAAACTGGAGAAAAGACWACCTCGAAGGAAACTCCTGCCCCACAAGAACCACCAGCAAAGCAAACAGAAGAGAAGAGCACTCCAGTGGCCACCACAAAAGGACCTCAAAACTCGCCGAAACAGGAGTACATCACTCAAATGAGACGAGCAGAAGAGGAATCTTTGGAAATCATGAAGACGGCGATGGCAAAACAAGATAACGTCAGCTTGGATGTCAAGAACGGAGCGGCACAGCTGGACGAACTCTTCGATGTAATGAAGAGTTACCGCAGAAACTGGCTTATCGCAGAGAACGAGAAAAGACGCGGTCTTCTAAGCAGGAGGATCACGACCCCAGAGCCAACAGCATCGATGCGGCGGGCGACAAGCCCAGTGGAGCCTCGAAAAACAGTGTGACCAAGAAGTGAAAAGGACGGCGAGTGGCAGAAAGTCTTGCCCAAAAAAACAAGATACTCGCAACCGAAGGAACGGAAAACAAAATTCCAAAGACGGAGGACAACAAGGAAGGAATATCGCCTCAAACCAGAGAGCAAAAAGCGGACCCAAACGACAATCGGAGGCCGTAATCATAAAACCAGCAGAAGGAAATAGCTAAGCCGAGGTCCTCAAGAATATCCGTAACAAGGTAAACCTAAGAGAAGGAGAGGAGAAAATTAAAGGGATTCGCAAAACGAGAGCCGGAGCACTACTACTGGAGCTGGAAAAAGGACAATCCACAAATGTCAGTTTCTGTCAGTTTAAACCAAAAGCCACAATAGAGATTAGAGACCTCGACTCTCTTTCAACAAAAGAAGAAGTAGAGGCTGTAAAAAAAAGTGCTACAGGACTCCATCGAAGACTTGACGATAAGCATAACAGCACCTAACACAAGAGAGCAGGTCAGGGCATATATAACGCATTCGACAGGCACGCATAAAAATCGGCTGGGTTAATTGCAGGCTGCGACTGAAAGAAGCTCCAAAAAGATGCTTTCGCTGTTTTGGACCAGGGCACTTAACCTGGGATTGCAAAGGACCCGACAGAAGAGGACAAGGTGTTTGCATACAATGCGGCCAACCAGGTCACAAAATGAAAGAGTGCACAAAGCCCCCCTCATGCTGCCTCTGTGTAGAAGCTAAACACGAAAAGGCTGACCATATCCCGGGATCCGCAAAATGTGTGGTATATAGGAAATACCAAAACAAATGAATATCTTACAGTCCAATACGCATAGATGCAAGGCTGCAGACTCACGCCTACGAGTTAATCATCATAAGCGAGCAATACAAAAAGAAAGAGAGAGGCACCTGGCTGGAAGATAGCAGCTCCACCGCCGCTATATGGCTACCACCAGGGAGTAACGCCATCACTGTAGACAAAGGGAACGGCAATGGTTTCGTCTGGGCGACTTTTTACAGTAATTAGCTGCTACTTGACACCAAGCGATAGTATACAGGAATTCCACGAAAGCTCGACAATATTGAGGGCACAGCCAGGTCTATAGAAGGTCAACTAATTATCGCCGGAGACCTAAATTCCAAAGCCGTAGAGTAGGGTATGCCAAACACGAGAGGAAAGCTCATTCTAGAAATGGTTGCGCGCTTAAGCCTAATAGTAATCAACACGGGAAATGTAAACACGTTTAGAAGACCGGCATGCGAGGAAACTACACCAGACATTACTCTATCATCTGCACGCTTAGCAGGCTCAATATAGGAATGGAAAGTCCTGGAGGATTACACTGCCAGCAATCACCAGTACATTTCCTTCACTATCGACATTGGAACAAACGCTGACCAGTGCAGGAAAAAGACTGCAACGTGGAGGTGGAACATCTCGAAGCTAAATACTAGAAAAATGCAAGAAAAATTGTCGAGCACACAATGCTTAATATAGCAGGATCCTGTACAAAAAGCAATGCCTAAGACTTCCCACAGCAAACAAAAGGCAGCAGTTTATTGGTGCACTGAAAATATCGCCCAACTCGGTACACGAGATCCAGGCGCAGATGAGCCGCACCCGAAGAAGCCGAGCAAATACAAAGCAGCAAAAAAGGAGCTGAAGCACGCCATCGACGACAGCAAAAAGAAAAAATGGGAGGAACTATGCGAGGATATGAACAGAAATCCCTGAGGACTTGGATATAAAGTACTTATGAAGAAGCTCGGCGCTCGAGCAAAGCCACCTGACTTAACCGCTGTAAAAATGGATCACATCGTGA